AAGCTTTAAAAAGAATCTGAAATGAAACCAAGTAGGCAAGTGGTGGTAGCTGAACACAAAGCGGTACAACACAGGCCGAACTGAAGGAGCTTTCATATTTGAAACTGGGGTTTTTTAGGGTTTTTTTTTTTAAACAGACTTCTCAAAAAGTCTCACTCCCAGATGTTTCAGAAGTGTTTACAGAGTAGATGAGTAGATGTTTTTCATGTATTCATCATTTAAATATTGTAACATTACTACAGCTCCAGAATATTCAGCACATAAAGATTCCCTCATGTTCAGTTTCATAATACACCATGACGCAGCATACCCTGCAAAACACCTAGGATTTACAGATTAAACCTTAATGTACTACTACATTAACAAACTTCTTAGATGAGGGGAGGACAAACAGAAATTCTTGTGACTTAATTCAATTGCACACATAATTTAACTAACCAGTATAATTTCTAAATAGAGTTGCTCTCACTAGTGTGCTGATAGAAAAACTGAAACTTCTACTTGATCATTATATTCCAATAAGCAGCTGAATTCAGAAACATTTCTTTGTTCAGTCCACTTTCATGTCCCATTTTCTGTATTAACTTTAATTTTACTATTTTAATTACAGAATAACCATCTTCTTGATTGTCACTTTATATTCTGAGACTTAAGCTAAACATTATTTCATGCACCAGAGGAATGTGGGGCCAATGACAGTCCAGTTGATTTGAACTCGTAATTCAGACTATGTTTTGGGGTGATTGGATTTTTGGTTCAGTTTGAATGGTTTTCCTCTGATCTTTGCTAACTAGATTGTGACTTAAGGATCCATCTGCACAGTGAGCTACTCTTTCTGGCTGTATAGCCACCCATTCAGTTAATGCTGAAAAACAAATGCTAGCTATTGTCTAATACTAAACTTTATTTAAAAATAGGAAATAGTTCTTGGTGTACCCCATTTTATGTGGGTTAGGGTAAAGCCTCTAAGATCTAGGACTAGTAAATGCAGCTATGCTGGCAGGCAAATGGCTGAATGACTTAACTATTTTTGTGAAGATGCCAGATAAATCTGAAAGGGCCATCTTCTGAGCCTATTGTACAAGTGCTGCATGTGGGTGATCTGTATAGGAGCAAGGGGAGATAGCAGAAAGGGTTGAAGCACTGTCACTGTGGGAGAAAGAGATGTCTGCTGTCTGGGACTTCTATCCCCTGCTCTGGAGAAGCAAAAGGATCCCTGATGGCACCTGCTTTCTCCTGCAAACACCCCATGTTGTCTTCCAAGGCATTCATTCAGCCCCTTCTGCCATTGCCTTTCCCATAACCACTGCAGCTCTTAAATTGGAGTTGTTAGATTATTATATAATCAATTGACAGTAATTCCCACTTTGTTTGAGAATCTAGAGCTATTCTGATGCATGTGTGTAGAGGAAAAGGCCTCTTGCTTAACCAAGTGGATCTAATTTGCTACATGGGAAAAGAGTGCCTAGCACTAAGCTTATTGGTTGTTCTGTCTGGTTCATTGTCTCTGACCTGGTGTGTTCAATGTCAGATTTTTAGGAAGCTTTCACTGTCCTTGCTTGTTACTCATTTTTTTCTTTTGCTGCTAGGACAGATTAGGGGAGATCAGTAAACGGTGAAAATGTATAGTGCTTGGGGATAGTAGTAGAGGTTGGGAAAGTGGCAAAGAGTCCTGTGGCACCTAATAGACTAACAGACGTATTGGAGCATGAGCTTTCGTGGGTGAATACCCACTTGTACATGGAATATCACAGAAGCACATACTAGGCTGTTTGTGTATACATCAATACCTGGAACACAAGAGCTTTGAACTCCACACATTTGTACTCTGATTCATGGTGGAGTGTTTTTCCTGTGTTTGTGTTTTTTTTTTAAAGGTGGCTATGGGTAGAATTTGATAAATTTACCTGTTCTATTTTAAAATGGTTTAGCTGTGGTGTTTAAAGAACACTGGGAAATTCTCCAGCTTTATATAATTGAAGTGGGGAAAGGGTGAGAGCTTGGCCCTTTTCTTACTCTTCATGTAATAGTGCTAGAGTTTCTGGCAAACAGCTGACTCTGACCTGCACACTGTTTAACAGTGGTGCTAAGTCCTTTACAGCTCCTTGAATATCCTTTACATGAAGACAATTGAAACATTTTCACTAAAAATGTTTGTTCCTGAAAGGGAATCAAAGATTTCCACTGAAGCTGGAGGTTTGTCGGTATGTCAGCTTTTATTTATCTACAATTCATATGATAAAGCTAAATCAATTTAAATTGTAATTATTTTAATGGGGATGTTACAATAAACACACGAGCTTCTTAATAAACATACAAGATGATGGGGTTGCAAATGCAGCCTATTCCCCAACTAAGTGAGATGGGCAGAATTTGACATTTAAGCTATATACCACTTATCTTAAGTGATCGTTAAAAACTTACACCTGTCCCACACTTACTGAGCTGGCAGAACTTGTGCTAAGCCACTGCTCAGGCTCAACTAGTGCGAGAGTTCTTGCATTTTGATGGCTGAAAGCGAGAGTCAGGCATGAAAAACTAGAGCTGCCTTATCACTGACTGGAGCCCTAGCCTAGTTGTAGAGCAACATTGCTCTTCTTACAATTTTAGCAATGCATCACAACTCACAGTTAACCCATCACATCACTACACACAATATTAGGCTGCTGCATAACAAGCTGAGCCTCTGTATGATATGATATCGTTCTCCCAACTCCTGACTTCATAGAAGAAGGGCAGGCTGAGATCTTATTTTCTTCTGCCAGTGAATGGCTTCTAGTTCTTCCCAAGGGCCTGTTCTTGTTGAACCCTCCACTTGTGGCTTTGTAAGAGGCAGTGCTGATACAAGCCAAGGCTTTAAAGAGCTGTCCCCAGAAACATTTCTGGGTGTTGGTATACTCAATGCACATACTTGTCAGCACCGGCTCCCACACCAACCTCCTAGTTCATACATGAGATTGTAGACCAGACAAACTTAGAAAATAGTTGAGAAATGTTCATGCTGAAACATTGAGTTTCCTCCTCCATTCCACCTCCCTGCCCTGCAAAGCATAATCTTGGTTTGGTAGAAAGAGTACTTTTCTTCTGTCCCTACAGGATAGGGGAGCCCAGCCATGGAATGAACTATGTACAGTGCTAGTCTGAATCTGGTCACAGTTTTGAAAGATATTGTTTACCAATTGAACAAGCCAGACACTTCAGAAAGTAAAAGCTTACCCTAGTTTTATCTGATAGCTAGCTATTTGGTGCTGCTAGAACTACAGAGTACTTACATGCAGGCTCTATCAAGGAAGGCTTTTAACATCTTAACAGCCAATTAACCAAGGTGTTGAAGGAAGACACCTGCCTGCCTCAAGGACATTCCCCATTTCCCTCCTGCCCAAATCTAAACCAACAAGGCCATTAATACCATTCTGCTTTATCAGCACATATTAGCAAAGAACCTGAATTACTCCCTTCTCTCTTCAAGAGACAACCCTTGTCTTTGGACAATGCTTTAGGGGATAGAGCAGAGACTTTACTGTCAGGGCAAAGCAACAGCTGTTAGGGGGGAGATGTAGCATTCATTACTGATGAAAGATGCTGAGTGAGTGGTGTTTATTATTCCACAGAGAGATTTCAAGGGTATGATACCATCTCCTTTTAGTTTCTTGGTAGGTGCCATCACTAGGGGAAACAAGAACCCACCATATGATTAAGTGCTTAATGCTTAGGTTACTTTGTGCCAAATAGTCATGGGCTGATTTAATAAAGATTTGATTTTTTTGAAATTTTGCATTAACCCCTCCTCCATTCTGGTGTTACTAGCCTACACTGAGTGAATGCTTTAAAAACACTTTTTCCCCACCATGACTATATCATTTAGTTCATACTGCTTCTACCACCACCTGTACATTAATACACATGGCAAAAATCATAATGGGCTATTTAAAAAAAAGACCAAGACATTTTATTAAAATTCCATGCTGCACAAACATACAAGTGATAAGAAAAGCAAGACCTAGAACCATGCACATGTATTCTTCTAGTATATCAATTGACAAGTTTGCAATGAGCTAGAAAAACAGGCAGTTGGAATCAGTTTTAAAAGGTAAGACAAAAATGCAAATGCAAGAGCAAATTTAAAGAGAATTAATAAAATTCACTTGTACTTCAAAACAAACAATGTACAAAATAAATTTGTCACAGCTTTATATCTTAGAAAAGCTTCGGTGTAGTAAGTTAGAAGTTCAGATAAAACATGTAACCCAAAATACTCTGGATGCCGGTAAAACCACATCATCAAGTTGGAAGAAATGCAAAATAGTCAGGGTACTGTAGAAAAAAAGATTTTTCAAAATCAAGTGTATTCTATCTGATGGCACAAAAGTACAGTTAAAATCAAGGCTTCTGTTGCTTAACTAATTCTTATTTTCCTTATCCCCTCATTAATGAGGAACCTGTTGTGTAAGCTAAGAGCTGGCTCATGCTTACAAGGTCACAAAACTGAGCCGTACATGTTTTAGAATTGAAATTCTATTGATAATCATAACGGTTTAAAATTTGACACTAATACAAACCATGATCTTTCCCCATTCTTTACCTCCACCCTAACCCTCTCCTCCCCCGGCCCCAACCCTATCCTATTCAAAACCTATCTTAAAGCAAATCAGACCTGATAAATACACAAAACAAAAAGGCTGTGGGCTATAATGAAACCTGATGTTTTACTGCAAGGAACCCTCTCCATAACTCGGGAAAAGGAAATCCTCTCAATTAAGGTTTCAGAGGAGCAGCCGTGTTAGTCTGTATCCACAAAAAGAATGAGGAGTACTTGTGGTACCTTAGAGACTAACAAATTTATTTGAGCATAAGCTTTTGTGAGCTACAGCTCACTTCATCCGATGCATGCAGGTCATCCTCACCGGTGCAGTTCTTCAGACAGAAGGGAAATCGTTTTGAGAAACCAAAATGAAATGTGAATTACGAAAAGAAATTACCAGCAGTTTTTTGTTTGCTATGGGGGGGGGGGGAGATAGATACATAACCCCAATCTTGCAATGAGCTCCAAATACATCTGCAGCAAACCCAGCCAATTACACTGGAGCCCTGTTCAACTGCAGCAGGACCTGCCAGGGCTCATTGCCAGAATGGGGCCTTAATTTGTTCTCTAGTCATTTTGTAGCTTATTTCACCATTGCGTATTGCAAAAATTCCCCCTCTTTTTATAAAAAGTCATGTTCTCTTCCTCCAGGCATAAGAAAGGCCAGACAACAGATCAATCTGTTATTCAGTGTTTATGTACTAGCTTGCTTGGGGAAACTTTTCCATTAAAAGTACTAAGGCAGTTGATTTACTGTACTTTATAACAAAACGGCCACATTCACCCCTCCCGGCCCCACCAAAATGACTATGGCCTTGCACCCTTATTCACGCCTTTTAAAGTGAGTAGTCCCGCTTACACTGTGAACATGTAAAAATAACACTGCAAGCTGCAAGGCCATGGAAAATCAGACTCCAGCTTTGGGGACTGACTTCTCTTAACAGCTAAATATTTATTAAAAATGTGAGACTCCTACTTCTCACAAGGGGCTGCGAGCTCCTGCCGGGCAGCGCGGCAGTGGTTGGATGGGCAGAGGTTCTGGGGGGTGGGGGCAGTCGGGATGGGGAACAGAGTGGGTTGGATAGGCGTGGGAGTCCTGGGGCCTATCAGGGGGTGGAGGTGTGGATAGGGGGCGGGGCAGTCAGGGACAGGGAGCAGGGGGTTTGGATGGGTGGAGGGTTCTGAGGGGGACGGGAAGTGGGAGGGGGTGGATAGGGGGCAAGGGCCAGGCCGTTTGGGGAGGCACAGCCTTCCCTACCTGGCTCTCCGTACAGTTTCGGAACCCCGAGGTGGCCCTCAGGCCAAAAAGTTTGCCCACCCCTGGTGTACAGGCTAGCTTTTTCAGAACAGCTCAGCTCCCACTTATGCACCTAAATGAAGTGGCTAAACTTTCAAGTACTCAGCACCCACTAACTCCCAGAGTTCAATGAGAACTCCTGGGTGCGGAGCACTTAGAAAATTTGACCACTTCAGAAATCTGACTACTTCCATTAGGTCCCTAAATGGGAGCTAAGCTGGTTTGAAAATCCAGCCATACATCCATAGTGCTAGTTAAATCCATCAGTAAAAGGACACTATAAGGAAGGAGGAGATAGACAAACTTGTTCTTGAAAAAAATATCCTGAAAATCAACTATTATTGCTACACTTATTCTAATAAGAATTTCTTTAGCCAGGTCTTTTTAAAGGTCACTGTAAGTTACTATAATGCATATAAACAAGAACCTTCCCTAATTTGTGATGTCTGATCTTAATATAAGACACAAAGGCATCATCACCTTAGACTGTTTAACCTTCAAAGACAAATGATTCAAAATTACACACAAATATGAATAGAAAAGTAAACTCTCAAGGAAGCCTATTGATTCTGACATTTCCTCGTGAATCTGACTGTACACGCAGTTTGACTGTTAATACAATGTAAATGCTAGTCTCTACAAAACAATGATCTCCAGGTCTTGTGCTTTAACAGTCTAGTCTGCAAAGTTTAAAAGCTTGTGACAAAGTTTTAAAAAATTATGAAATTTTAAAAATTCATTGTTGGCCGGTTATTAAAAAACCCAACAGAAACCTCAACCGGTTCTCTGTATTTCTAATAAGACAGCAGTGCTTTCAAGAAGACACTTGCATATAATCAAACCTTACACTCTCTCATAGGCATGCACATGATAAGAGTGGTGGGGTGCATCTAATGCAGTTCTATAGTACTCCCAGAAATGCTGGCAAACCGTACAAATTGATTATAAAATTAAAATGGTCAATTTTGCATATCTGTTGTATACTGAGGTAATAGACACTTTAAAAAGTCACATCCACCTCTGCACTGCCATTTTTATTGCTGAATAAAAATATTAATCCTGACTGTTTAAACCGACTGCCCCCAGCACGTTAACACTAACGAGAAATAGGATTTCATCACCACTCTTCTAATACTACCAATGTAGCACAATATTCAAAGCCAATTAAATAGATTAGAAACAATTATTTAAAATAAAAAAAAAAAAAAAAAAACCCACCACCTTAGTTCCCTCCTATTTGACGGGGGGAAGAAAGCCTGGTGAAGATAATTTAGTTTTTCATTGATGCCACTTAATGAACTTAAAAAAAGATAATACTGCCATCATCATTCTAGAATTTCTATTTTCTAAGTGAAACTTGAAATAAAATCCACAAGTTCTTAATAAATAGGCCTGGTTTCTTTTCTTTTCTTTTTTACCCCCCTTCCTTCCAACGGAGCGTAGGGTAATGGGCGGGTGAAGCACCATGGAAGCCCTCCATCTGGTCTATGGCTTTGTTAGATGCGTAGTTGATAGCCCACTTCATTCAATGTAGTGAGATCACCCACTTTCTTGTCCATCACGGCAGGCCTGCAGTCAAAGAGGGAAGAGGTGGTCAGCGGTCAGCATTTCTTTGACACAGAGATTGTGCAATTGAAAACACCATTTCAAAAAAAGAAACTAATGGAACAAAGTCTCTTGTCACTTAATCTAATGTAAAAACAGGACTAAACTTTTTTTTGTTGGATGAACTAATTATGCCATGTTATCATCTTGACATTGTGATGGCAAGAAGATCAGAGCTGCATGCAGAAACTTGGGGAACAGTGTGTAAATCCTTTAAAGGTAAATCCTGTAGGTTCCTCACTCCTTTGCAAGGATTTAAACATTACATAGATAAACATTAAACAGCAAAAATAATCTCAGAAAAATACAGGATTTATTTAGAAAAAGTGAAAGAAAGAGAGATGCTCTCAAGTTAAAAGTCAACCTCTTCAGGCATCTTCTTTTTTCTGGTGAATACTATTTAACCTGCTCTCATTAATTGGATCAAAAATTTTGGGGGCTTTGTTGGTTGGCATCTCATTTACTAACCAATCCTTTTTCCTGTGACTCTGTCTCTGCTGTACAGTTTGGACAAATACCTTTCCAATTGAGTTGTAACTGGAGCAGTTCACTTTTGACTATTAGCTGTTCATTTGAGATGCATTGTTTCTGCTCTTTGAGTCAGCCAGTTGCACCAGTGAAGGTGAGGGCAGAAAATAACACATTTCTACTATGAATTCACATAGCTTTTGAGATTTAGGAACCTTGTTGTGAGTAGCTAGTGCTCCTTTGACTATTCACAAATTGAACTCAAACTGTTTATTCACTAATCTGTTTCTACAACTAGCGCTATAAATAGTTTTAGCCTCTTCTGAATTGTTACCCTGTGTCCTGTCTTATTTCTTATTTAGCTTTTAAACACTTTGCAGAAAGGAAAGTGTCTTAACTATGGGCCCAATCACCTGTGAGAGGGGACTAAGCCTGAGAAGATCTCTGCAAGGTTTTTGTTGAGGTTTTTCACATAGTCCTTCAGAGAGGATAGGGCCATAGCTCCATCTCCCAGAGCCTGTGCAGACACCAGACAACCAGTGGGAGATCAGCTCCATGTCCACGAAGGCCAACACCCTGGCTCTGCTTCCTCAGCCTTAAGGGGGAATCCCAGCAGTTGGTTCAGTAAGGCCTGGAGTTGTATTCATTTTCCTCCGCAACTCTAGTGTGGGTGGGATGATTCCCTTAGGTCTGCCCACATTTTACCAACGTGCCTAGTCCCACCAGCCCTCCTGTTTGTGAATCCCAGTACCTGCAACATACATGAGGCTTGGGGGAAAAGGCCGGGGAACACTGACATGGAGGCATCAGAGCTCCTTTCTTTTCCCATGGTGGTGGAGTGACTGGCACCGAGGGTCCCTTCCATGTGGATTATGGGGATACAGCCAGGCCTTGTAACTGTGCTATATAAATACTCTATGAGTAGCTCTGATCTTCCTAGCCTATCATGTCCAGCAGGCTGCATTTCCTGTTGGAATTGTGACTAAAATGGCAGCCTCAGGCACTAACCAGCTCCTCAGTTCATACTGATTGTGAAACATCCTCAGGTATTTTTAAATACTGCTTCAAAGTCTCCTTGTATATCCTAATCATAGAATCATAGAATATCAGGGTTGGAAGGGACCTCAGGAGGTCATCTAGTCCAACCCCCCTGCTCAAAAGCAGGACCAATCCCCAATTAAATCATCCCAGCCAGGGCTTTGTCAAGCCTGACCTTAAAAACTTCTAAGGAAGGAGATTCCACCACCTCCCTAGGCAACGCATTCCAGTGTTTCACCATCCTCCTAGTGAAAAAGTTTTTCCTAATATCCAACCTAAACCTAATAGCCAACCTAATGAAGTATATCAACCTCTAGGCGTCCAGAGCAGCACTAAAACCACTACAGTTTTCCTGTCAATGTCTAATCAAAGTCAGTCTCACTAGAGATGCACATTATTACACTCACACAACATGCATTTATTAAAATTTCATGTAATATTAGCTGACATTTGCAGCACGGCTATTGGTGCTGACTCTTGCATTACATCCAGGCCCTAACTCTTCCCCAGATTAAAAATGAAACATTGCTTTCCAGTTTCATAAAGATGAATCAGAATTACCAGCCCCTCTGCTTTGGGTTTAGAAGAAGGAACAGAACCAAACAAGGGACCATTCTGTGCTAAGGCAACAGCAATTTAGAGGGGTTTTTTTGTTTTGTTTTTTTCTGTTTTGGCTTTATTCTTGTAAAATTTTCCAAAAGGATAAAAATAACATATAGCTTTTTATTTAAATGTAGAATTAAATAATATGCACCGCTGTGTGGCTGAATATGGGCCTGATTCTCTCCTTAGATCAGTATTACACCGGTTTAACTCCATTGATTTCAGGGGAGCCACTCTAGATTTACGCCAGTGAAAATGAGATGCGATCTGACGACAAAGGCCTGATCCTGCAAACAGTGCCTGGCATGGTGCTCAGCATCCACTGTAGCTGTAAATCCAGTAGTAAGTGTCTGCAGGATTAAGCTCTAATTTAAATAAAACTAAAAATTAATCTGAAATAACTCTCTTATTTGAGAGGTTTTCAGTGCAAAACTAAGTAACGGGGGAGATTCTTCCGCATGGCTCCATCCAGCTGGGTTGTCTAATTAGAAGTTCATGGATTAATCTATCCCTATTGTATTTCACTTGTAACAAGAGTGAATGCACAGAATTAACTCAAATTTATCTTCTGAAAGCCTGGATTAGCATTCTGGTCTTTTAGGAAAATACAAAACTCATTAAACTGTAATGAACAAGAGAAGGAACTGAAGCTATTCTATTTGGATGTGTTTACACTGGGCTGGAGGTACCCCATCGTTGTGAAAGGCCCGAACTTAACAATGTAATAGGAGCCAACATTTCAGAACACTCCCTCCCTTGGTGCAATCGCAACATTGCACACACAATATGGGCTTATTTAGCACTAGCATGCAGGTGAAAGGTTGGGGTAGATAAGGGGCAGCTCTAGAGGGACCCATGGGTGCAATTTAACCCACAAAAGTCAGGATTAATGAATGTGCACTGCAAAGGGTCACTTAGATTTGGCCCAGACACGCTTCTGTCACGACAGAATGGCTGCTGGGTCAAATTTGACCAAATGATGTTGCGAGCTGGCACATGGGGTCACAGCACTACTCAGGTTTCACACCTACCCCAGCAGGGCCCAGATCCCACTGGTGCTGTCACTAGATTCATTTCATTGGGCCCGAGGAATCCAGCAGGCCAAGAGCCAGAGGTAGGAGCAGGGTCTGGGGTACTACTCCCACCGGCGGTGGAGCCAGAGCTCAGAGAGACGGGACCGGGAGCAGCTACCCAGCCGCATGCAGGGCAGAGCATCCCCATCCCTGCAGAGAGGGCAGCAACCCCACAGGTCTGGCTCCTCTGACGCCCCTTCCCCAAACCCCACATCTATTCAATCGTGAGGCTACACTGCCCCTGGGATGTATATAATCCACCTAGAAATGGAAGGATTCACACATCAGCTCTTGAGCTCAGGAAAATGCTGTAGTGAAAACATTTCAGCTTCAGTGTGCTGAGTCTTCCCAGGAGGGGCCTATATAATTTTATTGTCGACAAAGAGCAGTCTGTAATAACAGCTTGCCATCAGCAGGTGAACCCTCTCCAGTGAATGCCAGGATCTTATTCAGTCTCTGCCAGCTAATAATGTAGCTCAGCCTAGCATGGGTATTGTGTGGCATGAAAGGCCTCTCTACTCTGTAATTGGCTATAATTAGAGCATGCAAATAAGAGATTCATAAGATGCACAATGCCCATATCCACGTTCAAGCTGTTCATTGTTTGGTTAGGAGCACAGGTGCCTAAACATCTTTTTGCCAGCGGAATAAATTTGAGGGCATCTCAAAACAGCTAGGTTCTTCCCAGCCAAAAGAAGGGGGAGTGCACAAGCTTCCTTTATGTATTTCCTTCCCTGCATTAACTAACCTTTGGAAACCTCTTAACTCTACGGGACCAGCATACTCTCCATCAGTCCTCCCAAGTCACTTACTAAGTGGCACTAAACTCACCTCTTTGCCCCTTCGCTTCCCTCCTGTCCCAGGTCTGATAGCTCCAGTTACAATAGGCAGGAACCAAGAGTTGTTTGGCCACAGAGGGGAGCAGGCTCAGAAAGCAAGGGGCTCCTGGAATTGGAAGGGATGGTCTCCCACCAAGAGGCTACCTACAGATCAGAACCACCTGCAAGGCGTTCCACTATGGCTTGGCTGAAAAGAGGAATGTGGCCAGTGCCCAAGCTGCCATAACTGCCAGTCAGTCAGTGTCCTAGGGGTTAGTGTGGTTTTAAAACAAGGCCTGGATTCTGCTCACTCACATCAGTTCTACATCAATGTGACTCCACTGGCTTAGTTACTCCTGATTTACCCCCGTGTAAATGAGAGAAAAGTCGGTCTCCATGGGCCAGACACTGAAGTATTGAGGTGCCTGAAGACAGAGATAGGCACCAGTAGGATAGCAGTGGAGGTGCTTTTGAAAATTCCACTAGGTGCCTATCTGCATCTTTAGGCACCTAAACAGCTTTGAGAATCTGGCTCCTGGTGACTACAGTGAACCACATTCTAGCGTAAACAGACTGTATAATGATGGGAAGGAGCATCACTTAACACCAGCTTCTTCAACCTTTACCTAAACCAGGCATGTCCATCCATATCCAGACGCCTTTACTAAGGCCTGCTTTCCAAAGGAGCGGCTGCAACTCCCCTAAAAGTCAATGAGCAGCAGCAAGTACTGTGCACCTCTGACAAGCAGGACTCTTGGTTAGGTGCTTGAATACAGAGTTAGGCATCCATATTTAACACTTTTGAAATTCTCTCTGATGGTGGAAAGGTGCCTCTGTTCATGAGCAACCCTCGCAGCTTGGTCCTTGTGGAAAGGCCCAGTTGGACTGCACAGAGATTTTGGAAGGCCACCACATGCACACAGACAGCTCTTGAGCTTTTCCTCATATAGTATGTCCAATGAATCCACATTCCAGGCTGAATGGCAGTCCTGACATTCCTCCTTCGTGGCATGGCAGCTGCAGGCTACTGGCGGACTTCAGGTCAATAGGCTAAACATCCAAAGTTACTATGTAAATAAAGACACTCCAAACCTCATCACAGCTGGCAACTTTGGTGACTTTTCTCCTCCCCTTTCTCCCATGGAACCTGTTTAAGGCCAAGGCCTTGTCTACACTGGCACTGTGCAGTGCTGCAACTTTCTTTCTAAGGGGTGTGAAAAAACACCCCGCTGAGCACTGCAACTTTCAGCACTGTAAAGTGCCAGTGTAGACAGTGCATCAGCGCTGGGAGCTACTCCCCCCGTGGAGGTGGGAGCTACTCCCCCCGTGGAGGTGCTTTTTTTATAGCGCTGGGAGACTTCTATAGTGCCGCGACTACACAGCTATGTTAAAGCTTAACGTTGCGAGTGAAGACATACTCTCAGGGCTTGGCTACACTTCCATTTTATAGCGCTCTAACTTGCTGGCTCAGGGGTGTGAAAAATCACCCCCGTGAGCGCAGCAAGTCCGAGCGCTTTAAAGCACCAGCGTAAACAAGTTCCGAGCGCTGGGAGCATGGGCGCTAATCCCGTCGTGGAGGTGGATTACCAGGAGCGCTGGGAGAGCTCCCTCCCAGCACTCGCGGACGACCACACTCACACTCCAAAGCGCTGCCGCGGGAACGCTCCCATAAGAGCGCTTTGAAGTTTCCAGTGTAGCCATGCCCTAAGTCCGGTCTACCCTGGGGGACCACAGCACTGCCTGGAGTCTCTATAGCACTACGTGCTGCAGCCCAGTCCCCAATACACTGCCTCCTGCTGCATGCCCCCTAGGGGGAGGGTCTCAGAAGGCAGTCTTACAGCTGTCTTTTTCAGTTCTGGTGCTGGGGGAATCCTCCCCATAGCTGGATGCAGAACTTCAGAGCCCCTTCTTTATGCCACTAGTGTAGAGGGGCCGGAGCAGGAATGAGAATCTCACGCAAGGAGTCTCAATTCTCAGTTTCCTGCTCTAATCAGATCTGCTGTCTAGTTACAAGTCATCATTATATAGTCCAAGGCTTTATTTTACTATAACTATATGTAATGCCATTAGAGATGGAGCACAAAGAACACCATGCAAGAGAAGGGTCCTGGGCAGGTGTGTGTGTTTCGCGTGGAAATGCAGACACTGCAGACCATGGAGTCACCACCTGACTCCAGTGGGTCAAAGCTAGACTACTTTTATTTCGCTTGTCCTTTCATATTGAATAAATTAAGCAATAAGAATAGAGCAGGGTTGCTGTACAGCTGACGCTTGCTCAGCAGTTAGCTCTCAGAAAGCCTGAGGCGTCTTTGTAAAGCCAGCGACATTGACACTCCTCTCCAGAATGAACATCTGTGCCATTCGAACAACTGCGGTAGCAGTGTTAGAAACCCAAAGATGAAAATATCCCTCAAGGACTATATGGGAAGGGAAAGTGCCTGGAGTGGCAGGGCCTTTAAACTACTATAATTATCCAGACACCAAATGAGGACTGGAGCCCCTGCTGATCAGCCCAAAATATAATGATGCAGATAGAATATGAATTTACATGTAAAACGTAAACCTGCTGTTAAATCATCAGCTGCTACCTGCATTAATATAGATTTAGAAAGTCAGTCTAACTTCTTTCTTAGCTACTAACAAAGAATTAGACCAACAGTCCCACTGGAAACTTACTTGAAAAGTGCTCATCATAAATAGTGACTAATTTGTGGCCACACAGGTACTTCATAGGTGTCATTCTGCTGCACAGCATGGCCTTTCAGAACTTCACTCCAACCGCAACATGGCTAGAACTCACATCCTCTGACTCCAAAAGCACAGACCCTTACCACTCGAACTCTAGGAGAATCTCCACTAGCTTCTAGCAGTATAAAGCCCGCGATACAAATATCCCTCCAGGAGTACGTGGGAAGGGAAAGTGCTTTCTGTCCCTCCAGCAGCTCTGTTATTAAGAGACCGCGTGAAGAGCATGCACAATACTACCGTGCTATTAGCACTGACCGCTCGAGCCATAGAGTTAACCAGAATATCTGAAGCATAGACAAATAGGCAAACTGCTATGGCGGATGAATCCCAATATCCCTCCAAATCCATAGTTGAGCTTTACTGTGTCCTTAAGCTGAGTTTCTGATCCATCAACAAATGGGGCATCAGCTCAAAGAGAACACATGAGCGGTAGCAAAGCAGAAATACTCACGATTTGTCTCTTCTGCACACCCGTCTCTGAGGGCTGACTTGCCTTCGCCGAGGGGACAGTGACTTGCCTCGTGATCTCTCTTTGATTGGAGAGTGGGCACTTGAGGGTTTCAGAATCTGGAAGGAGGAGGGGAAGAGAGGCACTGAATAAAGACGCCTGTTCAACATTTAAAAAAAAGAAAGACCCCGTGATAATACTGGAGATCAGAAATGGGACACAGAGCCTGTAGTCTCTTGAGGTTTATGTGAATCCTGCCCAGGCTGGAAGGGACTGAAAGCTGTTATCAGTGCCCCGTTGTGAAATTAGTTGGTGGCCTCAATCCAGTTTCCAGATACGCTGACGTCACAAAAACCATCACCACAACTGGCCTTCTAGTCAGCAGTCTCAGCAGAGAGACCATGGGACGGCAAACGAACTACCCTGTCCCCTTAGGGGCGGTTGCCCTCAACTCACAGTAAAGCACATTGTGGCAGCAGCATGGAACTGTTCTATGGACAAATACGAAACTTGAGTCTCAAAGGCTATCACTGGGCCTGATTTGTGTCTCACTTAGCTCAGTTTTATACCACTTCTACCAACTTCAGTGGAGTAACTTCTGATTTACCCCAGTGTGATAGGGAGAAGTATAAGATCCATTATTCTCTATCTAAAAAAAATCATGAGGAATAGCCATCTTTTAAAGATTAGACAAAAAATAGTGGACCAGTTCCTCCGCTGGCATAAATCCTAGTGGTTCTACTGTGGCAGGTTACACCAGCTGAGTGTCTGGCCCATAATTCCTTTTTGACGGAACAATGCAAATTATGCTCCATTCATCCCCATGGCAGAGTGAGTGATCACAGTGGGACTGACTCAAAATGCAGAAGTTCATCTCACCCCATATTTGAACATGAACACGAGAAAGATTTAATGTGTGTTATAGCAGTGCAGGGTCACCGTACACTTGTTTTCCACATCTGGAGACCCTGGGAAACATTCTGTTCTCAAAAAGAACGTGGAGTACTTGTGGCACCTTAGAGACTAACAAATATATTTGGACATAAGCTTTCGAGGGCTAAAACCCACTTCATCAGATGCATGGAGTGGAAAATACAGTAGGAAGATATATATATATACAGAGAACAAGAAAAGATGTGGGGTTGCCTTACCAACTCTAACAAGACAAATCAATTACAGTGGCAACCCCCATCTTTTCACGTTCTCTGTATATATATCTTCCTACTGTATTTTCCACTCCTTGCATCTAATGAAGTGGGTTTTAGCCCACGAAAGCTTATGCCCAAATAAATTTGCTAGTCTCCAAGGTGCCACAAGTACTCCTTCTTTTTGCTGATACAGATTAACACAGCTACCACTCTGAATTCTGTTCTCAGTTACATCAGTGTAGATCCAGAATAGTCAATGAGTTCCCCCAGATTTACATCTGTGGAACAGAGAAGAATATGGCTCCCTAGCTCTTTGGTCCTGCATGGAAATCCATCTGGTGTTTCTTCCTGCATTTGGGTCTGATGGACACTAGGCAAATGACCTATTGTCAACAAACCTGTTAACTGGAGTTGATGGGGACAAATCTTTTCTCCACCATCACAGGGAAACCTGCTAGTGCTCAGTAGACTCCACATTCTGTCCGAAAGGAAAACAGTGGGGCCCCAACTACACTGTTCTCAGCTGTCTGAGAAAACCCACTGTCAACAAGAGATCATTTCCCTAGTGTATTTGGACTTTTATTTGTGCACAGCATAAGCCACCAGAGGGTGGAAGAGCAGGGTGCTGCAGGTTGGGATGCGGGGTCCACTGGCAAAGCTGTACATGCGAGCTTTTGTGACACCTGCAAATACTATATATCGCCAAGACCTGCACTGTTAGCCCCTTGCTTGCCTAAGCACTACATTCACTCAAGTTAAAAATTCCACAAACATTGCCTTGGCCTAATTACATTCCCCTCCACCCCCACCCCTTTGTTAAATAAAGGAGCTTCATAGGAAAGTGTGGATGAACAACAGTGAGCTCTACAAAATGGGGATGATGGTGCTTGCCTCCTTTGTAAAACAGAGCTATGAATGAGAACTGCTATATAAGAGCTTATTATTAAGACAAAGACATGCATGGAGTGAGACACATTCCACACTGAACAAGGAATGTGCTTTCTCACACGGGTCTTGCTCCAATTCTCGCTTTCTCCCCTTCTGTCATGCAGGCACGTCTGAAGACTTTACATTTAGGGATGAATCCTGCTGGTCCTTACTCTTGCAAGGAGCCTGTCATAAATATAAAGGGAAGGGTAAACCCCTTTGAAATCCCTCCTGGCCAGGGGAAAGCTCCTCTCACCTGTAAAGGGTTAAGAAGCTAAAGGTAACCTTGCTGGCACCTGACCAAAATGACCAATGAGGAGACAAAAAGAAAAGGAGTACTTGTGGCACCTTAGAGACTAACCAATTTATTTGAGCATGAGCTTTCGTGAGCATGAGCTTTTTGAGGAGACAAGATACTTTCAAAAGCTGGGAGGAGGGAGAGAAACAAAGGGTCTGTGGGTCTGTCGATATGCTGGTTTCTGCAGGGGATAGACCAGGAATGGAGTCTTAGAACTTTTAGTAAGTAATCTAGCTAGATATGTGTTAGATTATGATTTCTTTAAATGGCTGAGAAAAGAATTGTGCTGAATAGAATAACTATTTCTGTCTGTGTATCTTTTTTGTAACTTAAGGTTTTGCCTAGAGGGGTTCTCTATGTTTTTGAATCTAATTACCCTGTAAGATATCTACCATCCTGATTTTACAGGGGGGGATTTCTTTATTTCTATTTACTTCTATTTTTATTAAAAGTCTTCTTGTAAGAAAACTGAATGCTTTTTCATTGTTCTCAGATCCAAGGGTTTGGGTCTGTGGTCACCTATGCAAATTGGTGAGGCTTTTTATCCAACATTTCCCAGGAAAGGGGGGGGTGCAAGTGTTGGGAGGATTGTTCATTGTTCTTAAGATCCAAGGGTCTGGGTCTGTAGTCACGTAGGCAAATTGGTGAGGCTTTTTACCAAACCTTGTCCAGGAAGTGGGGTGCAAGGTTTTGGGAAGTATTTTGGGGGGAAAGACGCGTCCAAACAGCTCTTCCCCAGTAACCAGTATTAGTTTGGTGGTGGTAGCGGCCAATCCAAGGACGACGGGTGGAATATTTTGTACCTTGGGGAAGTTTTGACCTAAGCTGGTAAAGATAAGCTTAGGAGGTTTTTCATGCAGGTCCCCACATCTGTACCCTAGAGTTCAGAGTGGGGGAGGAACCTTGACAGAGCCCCAGTGACTCCACTGTGCAGTCAGCACTGGTTTCAGTGGGACTCCTCGTGGAAGTAAAGCAAGCAGGTTCTGGCCCTTGATTAGCTGTTAAAAACCAACATTCAGTATCTTACAATATCCTCTGAGGTTTAAAAGGCCTAATGCAAATAAGCTGCCCTGACAGTCCCATCAGCTAGAATGGGGCTGGGCTCCAATGTAGAACTTTGCAGTGTTGCTGTGGGACAGCACAGATGCTTACCTGAGCCTGCACTGCCGACTCCCACAGTTTTTGACCAATAACACAAGTTAAGCTGTAAGATCTCAAAATAAGACAGACAATCTCAGACACTAACAATAGGCCAAACTTCCCCAGCATGAATCGGTTCCACTGTCTGACTGCCCTGCAGACCAGCCAGACGCTATCAGACTTGCTCTCAGGAAGCAGGGCCTCCCCTTCCACTGCCTTCTTGGATTCATAACTGTGCTCTGCACAGCTCACTGGCCTTGACTTGAGGTGAATGATCTGGGTGAGGAAAGTGCTCGTGGACAGAAGCCAGGATGAGGATAGTCACTTCAGACCCACATCCCATCCTCCACACGTGTACCTTGACAGTGGCAGGAGAGGGGGGCTGTAGCGGCAGCGCTAGGAAGCCTCTGTTTAGGCAGATTTACCACCCATTTTCCATTGTGCTAACCGGTGCCTGTGAGCAAACTGAAACGGTAGAGACAGACTCTGTAACACCAGGTCACATGTAAGAAGCACTCTCTCTACCCAGCCAAATGATTCATTCTTTGGAGGAGGAGGAGGAGGGAGACAAAAAGTCAGGTGTGGTGTGTGAAGTAACTTACAAATGATGCCACATACCTCTCGGAAAAGGGAAGCAGCCCTGCACTTCGTGAGTGCACCTGCTTTACCCTAACTGCCGACAGGTGGCTGGAAAGACATCAAATCCAGTTTCACCGCAACCGATACCTGTTCTTCACCCCCAGCTGCCACTGAAGCATATTCAGGAACTCCAACCAGAAAGGGAGTCATATTCTCAACTCTTTGGCAACCGCAGACCTTTGTCTGCAAGTGTCCTCTAAGCTTTTCAATCTGACTCTCCAACGGGGAAGTGCCAGCAGTCTAAGGATTAAACAATAACGAAGAAAAATTAATCTGTTGCTGATTCTAAACCAGAGAACCAATCCTGCTGCCATCAGTGGAAGGCGGGACTCTAGCAGAACGTCCAAACCAGATGTAATGAAGGGGTAAGCCAGTTCCAGTCCTCTGCAGAGGAGAATTTGTTCACATGAGACAGCACATGCTCATGAGACCCTGGAGACAGCTATAGTATTTTACATACAACTCCTCTGCAGACTTAATTTCAGGTTTCTAATTGGATACAGAAAACAGCGCACCTCTTGGCAGACTTTTCTGTGCCACAGGAGGCCATTGCAAACTAAAACCCTGTTGGCCTAGTTAGGCACATGAGGTGATACTTTAACCCAGCGACGCAGAGGAAATAACAGAACTGCTTGCCACAAAGCCCTCACCATGTCCCTTCCACAGTGAAATTCTCCACCCCGCCCCCAACACACAACAGGGCTCACTCCCTCGACAGGTGAGAACAGGCTGGAAGGCAGTTATGACTTTGGCAGCACAAAGAGGTTGGGATATAATCCTAATTCCTCTTCTGAGGAGTCCTCAGTGGGGGAAGAGCTGGCATAGCTGGTTCCTACACTTCCCTCCCCACAACTCCTACTGCAGAAGAAGAGGCACAGCCAGAGTATGCTGCCCTTGGTTATACCCAGCTGGCAGATGGTCCCTTGGAGGCCACTCTCAGCAGGTGCATGTTACAGCTGCCTCGGGGCTGCTGTAACATACAATAGGGCTGGGCAGTGAATCAGGGAACCATAACTGGTTCCCTGACTGCCTGGGACCACCTCTTTGCTGTCCAAAGCAGGAAGTTGGTGCAGCAGATAATCCAAGCCAACAACTGGAGCATGCACATGACTCCCCAGACACCAGAGAGTCACTAGCTCTGCTCAGTGACTTTCTTCCAAGCTCAAGACTCAGCAAGCTATTTGCTAACAGCAGACTGGATATTCACCCTTTATAACTAGGAGAACTTCTGGGCCACAAATGTCAGGTGAGGAGGGAGAGATCCTACAAATAAAAAGTTACAGAACATGCAACACACAATTCAGGAGAAACACACAGAGGGACAGAGTAGATGGATACCAGATCTGATTCTAATCTCACACTGGTTTTACTCCGGTGTAACTCCATTAACATCAACAGAATTACTCCCAATTTACTCCAGTGTGAATGAGATCAGACCCAGACTCCCAAGGCATTATAGAAATCATGCACCTACCTTCATTCTCATATCCCTGGCATATTTCTCCAGCTCCTTCCTTATGTCCGTCCGCATCATCTTTGCTACATTGAGGACCAGCTGCTTCCACTCAATGGGCTGAAAGCTGTGTGGCTCGTGCGGGACATATAATCCAATTTTTACTTTTTTGACTGAATGTAAATACTTTTTATAGGAATCTTCAAATTCAAAGACAAGATCGGTCAGGGTTCGATAGGTCAAAGGTTTGTCCATCAGATCTGATCTTCTGCTCATGCCCAGTGAGCCATACCGGCCATTACAGTAAATCCCAAGCACCACATGATGAAAATAGTTTCCTGAGAAGTGGGTTTTAAAGCTGATTGGGAATCGTTCCACGGAAGGCTGCCCATTGGTTAAGTATCTGATATGCACTGTGTCAAGGCAGCTCTGAACAAAGGTTGTAAAGCAAATATTGTTATAAGTCTTCTTACACCTTCCACCCTAGGGGCTCAGAACAAAAACATTCACTCCCACAATGCCCCTGCAAGGTAGGTGTTATAATACCCATTTTCCTTACTGGTGGATGAGGCACAGAAAGCTTATGTCATTTGCCCCAGGTCACGCACCAAGTCAGTAACAGAGCCAGGAAGAGGCCTGACTCCCAGTGCCCTCACCACGCCTGTAAAAAAGGCAAAGCCCAATCAGTATGCCGAAGAACTAGTGAATGCCCCCAGCATTTGTTCCTTCAATTAATACCAATGCAGAGTTCCTCAGTTCTGCGCTCCAAAGAACCTTCCTCTGGTTCCATTTTGGAGCTGGCTGCTGCTCAGAGTTTTCCACAGCCTTCAGATGCTAGGAAAGATCCCACTCCATACGTCTCATTTGAAGAGCGTTTTATTCCTCCAGTTTATAAACTCACCTTTGTTCTGTCAACCAGTGCCATGTGAGTGTTTTTGTCCTCAGATATCCCATTAAATGCATGAAACAAGAGCAGCTGGATTAAAGAAAGGATTCACTCCAGACACTGGCACAAAGAGGTGACCAGGAGTAGCCACCTTTTAACCTGACCATGTTATGGTGATCAACTATTCCAAATACACCTTGAGAAGTCTCCAGAAGAGAGCTGCCTTATACCAGCATAATACAGTACTCCACAGGGAAGCTACATGTAGTTGTCTAGATCATTTCCTCAACCCCTGCTGGTGCCACCTCCGTGTGATCATTTCTGGAGTGGCTCCCTACAGACTCAGGACTGGTGCTGGTTGATTCTAGTGGGAGCCAAATCCAGCCATCCTTTGCCAGCAAGGAGATTGGACAGATGTAAGGGGCACAGATATGATCAGCTGCAGCATACCAATCAAATTATCTCTGCTGAAGGGTGAGAGGGAGGGACTAGAAGGGAAGCACTAAAATGAGATCCTTTAGGCCTGGTTCTGCTCTCAGTCACATCAGTGAGAGTCAAGAGTCACTCTTTAAGGTCAATGGAATCAGACCAGCGTGAAGCCAATGTGAAACAGAAAAGCAGGCCCTTTGCCCTCAGAGAAAAATGGCCTCCCCTCAAGTCAAAGGGCCAGAGCTCGCTGAAGCAAAACATGCTCTGTCCACACTCATGGCACACCTTTGTGCTCCTCCCTACCATAGCCAGCTGATTACTCCAGAATCCTCAGCTGCTCCAGTAGCATAAAGGGGCTGGAGCAGAGGCCAGAATCTGGATCCTCAGCTGCCTTGTGCTGCTCTGCCAGTGGCTTTCTTTGGCGAGGTAAAGCTGCTAACTCTTCTCTGTAGTGGAGGCAGGGGACATGGCTATGGGAAAGGAATATTGTTGGGGTATCCTTATGCCCGACTACACCCCGGCTGCTGGAACAGGCCTAGAACAGCTAGAAGAAGTTAGAGGAGGCTTCAGGCCTTAGAGAAATGCTCTAAATTGCACTGTGGGGGAGAATTAGAGGAATAGGCCTAGCGCAGATCAGTCCAGGATCCAGAGGGACTAAGATGGTTTAAGACTATCCCCATGCACTCTCACCCACACTGCCCCGACTGCAGCTCAAGATCTGGCCAAAATCTCTCTCAGTATAGAAAACAAGGGATGACCCAACAAGGAAAATGTTGCATATACAATTCCTGATCCTGGGATCTTTGGCATCCTCTCCCCGCACCCCGCCCCCCCCCCAAAAAAAATTCTTTAACACAAACACAACAATAGGCATTATATAGTTGAAATGGCATAGGACATTAGTCTGAAAATTCTTCCTGCCTATAGCCTGTTTTCCTCCCCCCCTTCCTGCATACCAGGAGTGCCTGACAGCTGCTTAGAAACTGGAGAACAAAAAACTTTTTACCAACACAAGAAAAGAAAAGAAAAGAAAAGATCAGAGTCCTGATTCTGATCTCACTTGAACTGATACTATATACTTTTGCCAGTGTAACACCACTGAAATCAATACAGTAGCATGAACTCAAATTCAGCCCCTAGTTCCTAAAGCTGTGTGAAGAAGAATATCCAGTGATCCTCATACATCCTCCAAAATCTTTTCTCCAGGTGGTTTCACCCAGTTGGCATTGGACAAGTCTCACTTTGTGAGACCACCACCATTTTTTCCTATTCTCCTTCCAGCATGAGCATGCCTTGGAATCCCTGAAACTCACTAGAAAAGGATTCCAGGATCATCTAGACCCAGAGGTCTAAAGTCCATACTCCAGAGGTTAAAACATATTGATGTCTTTGTCCAGCAATTGGCCAGATCCTCTGCTGGTGTCAGCATAGTTCTATTGCCTTTATCAGAATTATGCCAATTTACATCAAGTTACATCACCCCTCTACCCAGTGAGACCAGAACGTGAACTCATTACCCTTTGGTAAGAGTGAGAAGAGAGGGGCTCTACACGCGACAAAAGCTCACTTGTCCTAACTATGGTAAAGGCCTGGAGCCATTAAACCCAGAGTCGCTCCACTGAAGTGGAGGATTAAACAGGAATCCAGCACATTCAAGAAGGCAACATTTTTGAGCAAGAAAAAAAATTTAACTTCTGAGCATCAAACTGAAGAATTTGATAAAGAGAAAACACATTAAAAGAAGTAGAGACAAACATAGCAAGCCTGGCAGGTCTACATCTTCTGCGCATTAATGGACTCTCCCCACCAACCAATATCCATTTCTTGCAAAACAGAATAAAAGAACAAGCCCGCAGAGTAGATCATTTAAGCAGCCCAGAAATCCAAGTGCAACACATGGTGCAACTGGATAAACCATGGCAGTATATGCATCCCTCCATCCATCTGCTACCTCCAGATTACAGTAAACAAACACAGATTCTGATCTTAGCTACACTGGTGCAAATCAGGAGTATCTCCATTGCATTCAGTGGTCTTGACTGTAAGCTCAATTACACCAGTGAAAATCAGGAGTAACCTCACTGAAGTCAATGGAATTAAATGAGTGTAAATCCAGTGAGAGATCAAAATCAGGCCCAATGCAGTTACACCAGTTGGAGAATTACGCCTACAACCGCTTCATTTAAAATGTGACCTCAGTCTTCTCGTAACAGAATGCAATATTCTGTATATGCTAAGATCAGGTTACTATCATTTTTCTTCTGTGGATATACTCTTTTAACGGCCTATTGTATTTATTATTCTATGTAACCGACTAGACCAATGCCTTTTGTTAGCACCTAATAAACTTTCAAGTGTTTCACTGATCTGCCACAATTGTTCCCTTCATTATAAAAGGGTTTTAACCCCGTTTCACTCTGAGTAGCTCTCTACTAAGTCCACACAAAGCCTCCATGGCCACCTGCCCATATGCACACGCTTCTACCATAAGGTCTCAGAAGTCGCAATTTAATTGCATTAAGCTCTAAGTAGGAGTAAAAGCCTTTGGAGGAAGGAAATGGCTTTACTTACCAGCAGCTATCACAGAAACAACTGCTGTGAAAATTAACCTTTAGGTGCATGATGCGTCTGCTAAGCGACAAGTCAATCAGAATCTCCACTAGAGATGAAATGAAACACACAGCAACTTGGTTAGAAAGGCAACTTAGATCTTCCCCTCTGGCTGGGTGTCATGATCTCCTTTCTAGTCCCCCCACAAGTAGAGCTGTGCTGCAGCAAACAGAAGGCCAAGACATACCAATACTGCTGTCACAGTCACATTTTTGAGAGACGTGGGTCTGACTGCAGGACTGGGAATCGGGAATTCAGTTCTGTGCTACAGCACAGAAGGCACAACATGCCAGAGATGGAAGAAGCAAAAGTGGCTACCCCCTCTAGATTCCAGGCTACTGCAGGGGCCGATATAGCTCTGCTTATAAATTAGCGCAGTCTCCCCAGGGCTATCTATGGACTGTGCAGCTGCCCAGAATCCCCCATAGCACTCAGGTATGCTAATCTCCCAATCTGCCTCATCTTGCCTGACACGTCTCCTACTCCAGGGGCCATGGGAAGGGGTGGGAGATTCCACAGGGTATTTGTCAGCCTACACAACTCCTATGCCACAGGAATTCTCCCCTGGCCATTTGCAGTTCCTTCCTTGTCCCTATACACCACTGGAGCACATATGGAAAATGAAGCATGAGTGGACTCACCATTCCCCACCCTCAATCCCCTGGCAGGAATTCCCAAGTGCTACTCCTGGCTCTGATACAGATTCCCTTTGTGGCTTTACACTAGTCATTTAACCTCAGTTTCCCCATGCGAACATTAATGGCTTAGTTAAAGGGCCTGGTTGTGATCTCTCAGATACACAAGGTGGTTGAAGTCAATGGACATGCACCAGACTAAAATCAGTGAGAGGAGAATCAGACCAAAGCTTTAGGGGCTTTGAGGATGGGCCAGATTCCCAGTTGGTATAAACTGGCATAGCTCCATTGAGAAGTATTTTAATAAATTCAAAAATAAAAGTTAATGGCCTGTATAAAATAAACATTTTCTTTCTTTTCAGCTATTCATATTTAAGTCTCCTTTGCTTTAACGGTAGCAAACACTAGAGATGAGCCCAAACCCCAAATCCTGCTCTGAACCCCCCCTGCTACCCTGATCCTTGGGAAAATTCAGATCCAAACTTCATAATCTGGGATTCTCTCTGTAACTGACCTGAATTGGAACACAAAACTGGAAGACATCTGAACTCTGAGTCTTGCCTGATTTTCCTCTCACATTGGTGTAAATGAGAAATAACACCAATGAAAAGGCCTATTGTATTTATTATTCTACATAACCAACGAGACCAGGGGTTGGCAACCGACGGCACGCATGCCAAAGACAGCACGCGAGCTGATTTTTAATGGCACGCTGCTGCCTGCCGGGTCCCGGCAGCCAGCCCCGCTCAGCCTGCTGCCGAACCCAGGCTGGGACCCTGGCAGGCAGCAGCGTGCCATTAAAGATCCTGCCCGCCCCGGCCCGCTCTTCTCCGCCTCCCCCCG